AGCATGCAATGCATGTAAGGCAGATCGTCGACCAGCCAAACGCAGCCACGCCCATCAGCTGCATCCTTGACTGCTGCAGAGACCGCAACCATGCTCCGCAAGCAGCCATCTTCGCAAACAGCAACCAGTCAGGGCTGCTGACCCTTGAAGGGTTACCTCCTAACACTACGATTTGCACCTCCGATCCAATTGCTGCATGCCGCTGTCTGTCTGGCTGTCTGTCACTTCACATCGGCAACTCTGAAGAGCTGGGTCTGATGTGTGTAAACGTGCTTCCCAACCTATCAAGTGAAAGAGCCGAGCCTGACCAAACTGTAAAGTGCCAAGCTGGACTTCGAGAGCCTGCCAGTTCTGCTCGCTGTCATGCTGCATTGATCCCAAACTGGCAATTGTTTGTCACCAACGTGTGGAGCCTCCTTCTGGACCGATGCGTGGCTTCCCAACAAGCACTTTGGCTCTGCAAATGTTGCTCCTCGCAGATCGGAAGGCAAACCATTATGAACAAAGCATGGCCAAAGTCCTTCAGAAGCAAAACTACGAATCAACATACATCAACTGTGGGAAGCGGAGCCCACAGGAAGCAGCTCGCCTCCAACTGGCTTCAACGTCACCACCACGTCACGGGCCATCGTCACTAGCCTTGTCTTCACGAAGCGCAGCTTGAGACAGCTTCAAACAACCTAAGAAGGAAAGCTTTGATCTGGGCAACTCATCGGAATCTCACACCATACAAAAATTCTAAGAGCCCTTTCCGCCTCGGCTTGACGGCCGGAGAGGCATCTGGAACAGAAAAACAAGCCGCTCCCCAAGACAAGCTTGTAGCGTGTGTACCGTGCGCCTTTTGCTCACTCGGCTTTGGCTCGCTTGGGCTCTGTCAACATAGCAGAATTGAGCCACTGCAGTCCTACACTTTGCTGACTGTATCTGCTGTTGGACAGACAAGCAGCGATGTGATGCCGGGCTCCAAGTTGCCGTGCTGCCCAGTTTGTTCCCGGTGCTGTTCTACCTGGTCCTCATTTATGATGATTCCTGTGCTTTCAAATCTCGTAGGCTTCCTGCAAGCTCCATTCGTATCATCCCACTTAATGCGAGCCATGCAGCCAAGGCGGAGCCGACTACCATGTTTCTTGACAGCCCCATCGAAGCAGGTTTGTAGGGCCTCCGTGGAAATCTGAAAGTCTCCTGGGCGTGCTGCAGATTTGACATCGCATTGACAAAGACTGTGCCGACGAAACCGGCATCAGGAATGAAGGCATATGCTCCAAAACCTTAGGAGCTCAACAGAACTTCTGAAGATGTCAACAGTATGTGCTGAGGCCATTACCGTCCGTCGCAAGCTGGCTCAGCAAGGCACTATCCTTGGCATTCGGGCTTCAACTGGCTTCAGCACGTTTACGACTCACGAGCAACAGCATTCAGCAATCCCAACACAACAAGCAGGTGACAAGAGGACAGATTCAGGCACCTAGCACACAGCAAGATAACATAAGATAACAGTCCTCAGGCCTGGTCTAATTCATAGCCGAAGCCAAAGGTGCTAATGGTGCAAGGCCTCCAGACCAAAAAAAAAAAAAAAACGAAGCTTTTTGCAAGTTGAAGGTTTGTGATCAACACAATCTGAGTTGCCAAACAGTCTGCCGCCCTCACTCTTGTCTTTGAGCCGCTTCAGCATGGGCAGTATGCCTTCGGCACTTACGGTTGCCAAATTTTCAAGCATCTGCGGTGAACAATGCATGAGCTTTGCAGCTTGCGCCTCTAGGCGGGTTGATGTTGGGCAGCCCGTCCGTGAAGAGCATTATCTGCGGCCATGACAGGGTGCAGAGCATCATCAGCCGCAAAAAAAAAACAATGAACTGGATATGTGGCACACCCACCAAGAAATTGGATATTCGGACACGAACAAAAAACTCTCCTTTCGACTCAGCGAGAATCCATGTTGTCTGGAGCATTTTGAGGCCATGGCATGCTGCAACCGGTTGCTGGCCCCGCCCTCCTTGAGCAAATTCAGGCCTCGGACGCTATTCAAGATGCTTCAAAAACCGCACTCTAAGCCCCACATCTTCCAAGGAGCAAGCCCGTTTGCAAGCCATCCCAGAGGTTCGTCATGCCTGTCAGCATCCAACCACAACCACAAGAGCAGCAAGTGTCAGGAAGGGCAGTTCCAGCGTTTCAGTTCCGCAGTCTCTCGTCTATTCTGCTGGACTTCTTTCTTCGCAGTTTCAGCCATTGATGCACATTGCAAGGGGCAATCCTCCTTTCCGAGCTGCCTTCAGCAACCAGCTCCTCCAACTTATTCTCGGAGAATTTCCTGCAGGATCACAGACAGTTTCAGGTTTGTGTAGCTCACGTACACCACTGCTAGTCCACTCATTTGGATTGCATCGGTCTGGTTCATGGCTGCCAAGCTCTGCAGGTCCTGCCATCCTCGTTCATCTCTGTAAGTGGGAAGATAGTCTTGGCAGCGTTGGAATACGACACCAGTGCCTTAAGGGAAGAAGACAAGAAGCCAGCATGCCGGGTCGCCCGCTCGTACAATCATGCATCTACGACTCAGTCGTGATCTGCTGTCTGCATGGAATCCTTTGTCAGAATCACACAGGCACGACCAAGCCACTGACTAGGCGATCGTCGCCACCTAGGTTGGCCTCAGTGCAGAAGACTCTGGCTGGCCGGTGGCTTTAGCTCAGATGCCGCAGCTGGCGCTAGCATCACCATGCAACACCTAGCTATACCTAGCTCTCTGCGCCACAGAACTTGGCCTGATGCAACATGTTGAAACCTAGCATGCCTAGCCGGGTGCTGGCCAAGTGGCGATGATTGTTCGCAAAGCATGCTTCACAATGTCCAGGACAGACAGGCCGTGGCTACTTGACCTGGGCAGTTCAAGGGCTTGACCTGTCGTGGTTGTAGCTTGCAGTTGCAGTCGTGTAAGCAGGTCCCTCACGATACAGCCGTGGGCAAAAGGAGAATACTGGAGTCTGTTTTCTTTGCCCTTGGTGCCGCTCAGGCGCTTTACTGACATAATCTTCAAGTGCAAATGCAGAAGTGCTCTCCCCCATGGAAAAAGCTAAATGCAGAGGTTGTTCTGGTGTCCTTTTTTCACTAAAGTACAAACATGGGCGGGCTGTCACCACGATGAGAAAGTGGCAAGTGTCAGAAGTCAAAGGGGGCTGTCCAGACTGGTTATTATTGCTATTGTTGCTCCTCACTCTTGAGAGGGCGCGTGTCTCAGCTGTTGTCTAAGCCGTGTCAAGCAAAAAGTAGTCCCAACCAATGATTCGAACACTGCCGTCCAGGCCACGTCACAAATCTCTCTGCAAATGCTGCTTCGTGGAAACCATATCAGGATCAGGTCATGTCTTAATATACAGGTGACAGTCAGACCTTCAGCCAAATCGGGCAAGTCTTCTGATGAAACGAGTGCGGGGTTAGGTGCATGACTAGCGCTCATGTCACAGTTTCGCTGCATGATTGACGCCCTGCCACCATGCATGACACAATGTCACACATCCAACATAGCATGGCCGAGGGTAAAGACTATGTTGGCTGTTGGCACAAGGAATCTTGATTTCCTCAAAAACCGGAACCAAAATGGACAACCCCCACCGAGTACCATCAGCAAACCGTAACCAGCCAAACCCAAAATCCAACACGGAGTTCCGTATGCACCGGCGACTTTGCCTGTAGCCGGGATCTCACACCTACTTCCCTACAGCTTTGAGCTTCCAACATGGTCCCATCTTCGCTTTGCAGCAGCGCGTCATTGCTCATGGAGCCCGACCTACCGCGGCACATCGCAGTCCCAGAACATGTGCGAGGCTTACGAAGTTTTGCGTGGCATGGACGCACGATGAGAACTGACACTAGCTGAGAATGACTTACATCGAAAGAGGCAGGCTCCGACTCTGAGCGCCAGGCACATCAACAACGCAGCAAATGTCCGACGGTGTGCGGGCCGTTCCTGATGGCACGCACATAGATTCAGATGCCTGTCGTGCTGCCTTTCCACGGAAATAGAGAGGTTTCAAGTGCCTGGTGGTGGCTGCACGGAGACCAGCACTGGTCTAACACCATCTGGGCCTTCGAAGGTGTCAGTGGTGTCAGTGGATGGGCTTCACTTGCAAAACGCGCGGTACGGTGACATGAAGCCACTTTGTCTGCATGACCCTGGCTTTATGAAAGCCAGTGGCCCTCCCGTTTGTGCAATGGTGCTTGCAAAGCAGTGGTTTGGGCTGCCCATCCAACCTTCGCTGCCGACCGCCGTGACAGCTGAGACGACCTGATGCTCTCAAGCAGTTACCTATGCTGCGCCTCTGCTGTGTACCACGTGCATCCTGGCAAGAAATACGGCCAAGCTGAGTCTTGTATCTTTGAACATGATCCTTGCAAAGTGATGCAGCTCTTGAGTTGAGAATCATCAGTAAGACTACTGTATTCGCAGGTGCATGAATCCCACTCAGATGTCCACTACATCTTCAGCTGCTGCGGGCTGAGGAGCCATGGCCCTGTCCCAGCACACCAAACAAGTACAATCTTCAACAGACACCTGCCGCCATGCGCTGCACCGGCGCACCTATGGCTGCTGGGGTGCGACCCGGTATGATGTCGTGATCTGTTCGTCTTGATTGATGTATCGCAGGTTGACAGGGAAGCAAGTAAGGATTGGCTGGCTGTTCTTACTTGCAATGGGTTGCAGGAATCAACATGGCATGCAAATCTCGGTAAACGATGCGTGTGCATATTAACTGCATCGCGTACCGCGTCAGTGGAGCCAGACTGTTGCGGCGACCGAGCTTGAGTTGTTTGCAAGCATGAAAAAGCAATAAATGCAGCCAGCAATCGGTAGTCTCAAACACGTGATTGAGAGGAGAGGCGATCGCAAAACATGTCATATGCAGCTTGCAAGTTCGTGGCTGCTCTCAACAAGAATGGAATTCCCAACTCATCTTGCTGCCTGTGTGGAGCTTTCAATAGGGAAATGTAGAGAAATGTTTCAGCGCCTCATGCTGAAGGATGTCTGACTGCGAGAAGACCATGCTGATGATGCCTGCGCGATGCTCGCCAAACGGCTTGACAGGCATTCGCCTTTCACCATCATTCATCTGGAGCTGAAAACTCTGGCGAATACCGGGATAACAGGCCAGTTCAGTCAACATGGACAGCTGTGCCTTGTTGATTTCACGTGACGCAAGGAACGGAACCCAGCTACAACCAGAGCAGGGTGCCTATGGTTTCCTCGTCGAGCAGGAGCACCTTCATGCCAGAAATCCTGTCAACCATTGCCTGATTCAGCAGAGAATCTGGGTGTGTTCTGTTCACAAAGCTGCCTTGCAAGTCATCCCCAAAACGATTGCACTGCTTCAGGCACCTGGATGTACTCCTGCACACCGGCGACGATGCTCAAGGTCGCCATGATCTGAGGGAGCTTCTATCATCAAAGTTCAGCCCACTGCTACCTGTGCAAGAAAAGTCCAACTAGATATTGACTTCAAGATGCAGCAAAATCTTGGCCGAGAACAATCCTGAGCCGCACGCACGCACGGAGAGGAGGGCACAAGCTTTCTAAGGAGCAGGAAGCAGCTAAAGACTGCCTGCAAACTGATAAATGCCATGTCATGTTGTCTGCTGTGCTGGTAATGGCTAAGCCACCCATCCACGGTTGGAGAGCTTATGTGAAAGCTGCTCTTCCCAGTCACACTGCAGAAAATGCATGACCAAATACTTGTATGAAAGTTGGTTGTCCATTGCACGGGCTGAGCAGTGGCTACCCGGCTGCCACTTATGAAGACGCACTGCCGAGCCACAGCACAAATTGAAGGCTGATGCGCGACATACACTTGGGTTATGACAGCGCACAGCGCCGCCACTGCATCACCCACGCTTCCTTTCTGCCAGCTGATCTGGAGCAGCGCTACTCCGAATCCTCCAGAAACGCCTCAAGAGCACGCAAATTAACATCAACGCGAGCTTCCAAAAGGAATAGGGTCCCTTTTTTGGCATGCCCCCCTCTAAATAGGACGTCTTCAATCCAGGTGGACCAGGTTGCGAATTCTGACACAAACAGTAAGATATACTAAGATGACAGGCTACGGCAGTCTTCTCCGCGGGCCTCCAGCGCCTCCTTGGCCTCTGCAAGGCGCCTTCTGCTGCTGGTGGTTGGCCCTGTGCTGGCGAGGCGCCGTCGCGCCTGGTCAAGACCAGTCCATGTGGCCGTGTCTCAGAAAGATGACATGGATGACTCCCTGCGGGTTGGTTCCCTCTGGCTTCTAGCTTGAAATCCCTCTTTCGGACATATCTTCTGCCAGCACGAGTGGTTCCTCGCGGATGTCTGCTTGAAGTTCGTCCACGCGCCGATTGTGCGCCCAACCCCGCCAATAGCCGGCACCTTCTCAGGACAGACTGGCAGTCAAAACCCAAGCTACAGCAAATCAACCAGGCATCGTGCGTTCGGCGTCAAGTTGGGATTTGCCTCCCTCCACATCTTGTAAGGCTGGCACCATAGTCGACTATGAACTCGCTGTTCGCTGGTACGCGCTTCGTTGTCACCTCGGCTTTTGCATGGATAGGCCAATACCTTCCGCAAAACAGGAGGAATCAAACTAGATGACGGATGCGTTGATTTTTTTGAACAGCGAAAGTAAATCCCAAGCACCAGAAACATCAGTAATAATCACTAGCATCGCCATGCATTGAGCCTTCTCTTGAATGTTATTTGTGTTTTTCCTTCTAGCTTCCGTGGACGCCCTCTGATGTTGATGCCTCTATTCGAGCTATGCGAGCTCCCATTCAAGCTTCACGTGAAATTAATGTGACAGTCACGAGGATGGCGACCTCAACCCCTGCCAACCCAGTGACTGTTGACAAGTTTGACACACATTGATGATGCCAGAGCTAAAAAAAGTTTTCTCGAGGGTGTTGTGACATTCGAACAACGGCAGCTTCACACTATGTCAGGGCACAAGACTCGTCACCAGACTACTGCCTCTGCGATGCCAGACACTCCGCAGACGAAATGAAAACCGTCTTCCACAGGCCTGGCCTTCCGCTTAAAGCGAGAAGCTCATAAATTTTTACAGACAACCTAACACTGGGAATGTTTAATGAATAATCTCACAACCCTCAACGAAGAGCAAGAATACTAATCTGATGAACCTCGACAAATCAGAATTCAACACCGGCATCCCACATCAACAACACAGTCCAAGGCAAAACGCTTCGTAACGCCTTCGGCAAAAAGCAGGGGATTATGATGCCTCAGCCGCTCAGACTTGAAGATAAGGTTCCGGCAAAATGTACTTGCTTTCTGCGCCAAACCAGCTTGGTATTGATGCTGCGCCTGGTCGCCGCGGCAAAAGCAAAGAAGGCCCGTTTATCAAAGTTTAGAGCAGGCTTATGCAGAGGCCGAACACATCTCATAACGCCCGGTTCCAGGGCTGACGGTCACATGGGCATCTCATCTGTCGGGCTGGACTACATTGAACGGCACTGACTGCAGGGTTTAGCAAAATTGCCTCTGTGCAGCAGTCCTTGCTCCATTCACATACCGTAGAGGGTTGCCTCACGGTGAGCAAATGCACCGACTCCAGAGCTAGCATAGAAAGCTTGATTGCACCTCTGCGGCATGCTTTTGCATCAATCGCCACGATCTTGCTGTTCTTTCGCGGCAGCAGCATCTCAGCTGATGGGCAGTATGTATTTGATCTCGACATGGGTGTAACACGTACCTACTAGTAGCAAGCTTATATGTCTTCTGTGTTTTCAACGCGTTTTCTTGCTTGGGAATCTGGGAAGGCAATCAGGCGCGGGAGACAATTTTTCATCCCACGGTGAAAGCGCACGACGCTCAACGGGAACACTGCCATTCCAAGACAAACGGGGGCCATGTTGGCCCGTGGAGATACCGTAAACCCTGAAAACCGGCAGTCGCAAACTTTCCAACTGATTAACGGTTAGGTGCACTGCTGGCATGTGGTAGCAATCGCCAAGAGAATTAGGAGTGGCCATGCCTGAGACTTGTCAGCTGCCCCGCTGATGCCTGCTCTGCAGCTGCCTCTGTAGGCATACCAGGTATCATTGGGAAGGCCGACATGTATATTTCCATCTACGCAGACTGCGCCGCAGGGAAGTTCGACAGTCCTGGCCTCACTATGATTGCCAGCACAGTACGAACTACCAGTATAGGTTTTGACGACAAGATTCCTGCTGATCAGCTCCACGTGCTGCGATTCAATGCTTACCATGCCCCCTTCGATCCTCCCAGTTGCCCGGCAACCAGCCGGCAAAATGTGCTGCATCAGCAACTCCGAGTCTTGGCAATCTGACCTGTTATAAGAGGCAACTACATACCCCTCCATATCAGTGCAGGACAGCATCTTCTCCCTGTTGTTGCAGGTGTCGAAACGAGTAAAGTGCGTGGACGTAGCATTGCCACTGCAATCCTCATTCTCATGTAGAGATGCGGAGACTCCGGTAGCGTTGCAAGTCTGTTCAACGAATCCATCTTCTGTGCATCCGCTTAACAGGAACTCTTCCATGTAAGGCGCGCCGCTGCAGAATGAGTCTTCATACAATGCTCGCCTGATCATCATCTTGCTGTTCGCACGGACCCAAAGCGTTGCCAAGGCCAGCATCAACAGCAACACCGACGGTTGACCGATCATGGCGGATCCTGTTTCGGTGCTAGTTGCATGGAATGGCGTGATGTATGTTCATTAATCTGCTTGTTAAATGGTCGTGTGATGGCTTGTGCTAATGACAGCATCCAGCTGTTCGTGGTAAGCTCTGAGCATACCATCTTGCTTCATTTTGATCCAGTCGATCTGGGCCACAAACATGCATCAGTTTCTTAATGCATTCTCTACGGATTCCACTATGGCACGCAACCTGAGACCGCTGCACAATAGCTGAAGTCGCGGAGGCCTCTGGGTCTTCACTGAAATAAGGAAGAGTCTCTTCAGCTGGTGTACACAGGAGCGCAATCTGAAAGCCGTACTTTCATTGCAAGGACCTGCTGCCTTCATTCACAGAAACAAGCCTCATACTTTTGATATCAGAACTGTGGCAGTACTAGCAAGTACCCAAGTAAGAGCATGACGCTTCAGATCCCCATGCCTTACGCAGAGGCAGTGTGCGGCGGGAACAACAAGACAGCAACCTACGACATATACCTACTCATTGCCACCAACGAAAGAAACGCTTGGCTAGAAATGGAGGGGCTACGTCAGCTACATAGCACAGAAAACGAACCGCCTTCTTGCTAGGAAATCAAGGATGCCTTCAGAACCACCAAAGTTGACAAAAACATGTATATTAACATTGTAGTGTGGCTACGTTGGAAATTTTGGTTGTTTTTGGAGCTCCTTAATCCCGCCAAAGAAATGCAAGGGCCTATCTTCCTTATTTTTGGGGGTTGCCAAACCAACATGGGAAATGTAGGGGCTGCATTTATGTTTTCAGGTTTCAAGTTTCAAGGCCTCCCAAAACTTTAAAGTAAGAAACCCTTCAAGTAAGAAGTGCAGGAGTTGCATTTCTCATGTCAGAGAGTTCTAGCCTCCAAAGAATGCCCAAAACAAGACATGTAAGGGCCTACCTCTCTTGTTTTCGATGTTGTTAGAGCTCTTCAACCCCTGAAGTAACAAATGTAGGGAGCTACCCGCCCCTGAAACCACCAAGATCAGAAATGCAGGGGGACAACGATTCTGACTTGAGGCCTCGGACAATGAATCCTCGAAGAGTATACTTCTTATTTTGGAGTGGCGCTGTTTTGCAAAAAGAAGGGTAGAGGCTCGTTGGCCTGCGCAATGCAGAAGGCGTTTGGCTGTATCTCAAGTGCCGAAATGAATTTAGGCCCAAATCTCAAAACAAGAAATGGATGCAAGCCAGGAAGAGTACCCAACAGTTGGCCACTTAAAAAATCAAATAAGAAATCACGGCTAAGCTACGACACGAAGGATACCTACGCCCTACTCTGATTGGGTCCATTTCTTATCCAGAATATGGACTGTACAAACCTGTTTTCGGGCCGCCGGCTGCAATAGCCGTCCCTTGTATGGTCCGGGAAGATAAACCTGAACACGAAGCAGTAGACATGCACGTTAAGGCGCAGGACTCAGCCTGCCGCAACCCTGAAAGTTGCATGCTAGAATTGTTAGCATCCTCATGCAAGAATTTGTCAAACCGCCGGACTGGGTGTCTTACCCCGCGGGGCGTCGTCTCAACAGCAAAGAGCCCTGAACCAGCTCCCGTAAAGCGAGACCTCAAGGAAGGTCTCAGGATGCGGACGTGCATTGTGTCTTAGAGCTCAGCAAAGGCTGTCAAAACTACGAGGCGCTCAGCCAGTGCATGCCTCAAGGCCTTTAGTCCCAGGCTTCTGGATGGCCACCTGACGGACCTTAAGCATGTTGCCTGACCTGGCTCAACTGGGTAACCAAAAGTGCCATACCTAATGATGTACTGCACGGCTCTCCCACCTCAAAGGGGCGCCTCGGCAAGCATAAGTTCACAATCGTGACAGACACCCAGGGGCATGGAGTGGATGTGATGTCCAAGCTGAGCTGATAGCTCCGTGGCTTTGCGCGGGCAGCCTGCTTCCTCTTGGCCATAGCAGACACGAGAGTGCACTGCTGTGTTTGCTGGTCCATTCATACAGAATCATGCTTGGATATTCCAAAGGGCACTGCACTTCTTCACTTGCATTGTAGTGCCATTGCAAAGTCTGTGAGTCCTTACTGTTTCAGAACCCAACCAATAGAGCTAGTTGAGCTCAAGTTTTCCGAGTCAGAACAGCATGAGGCATTTCAAACTTCAGCGAGCTCCAACTGGGGCAAATGTGCCATGCTTCCTTTAACGTCAGCGCATCCCACCGCAACATCATCTTTAAGTAGTGGCATGCACATAATGCGATCTGGAGTAGCGATCACGGAAGCCAGCTTCCTTGCTGTTGCAGCGCATTGAACCATTAGACACTATTTTGAGGGTAAAAAAGTACCCCATTGTGCTCCACATCGCGATCTCCACTGGCAGGCCGAGGGGCTCACTTGAAACAGATGTGCCCTGTCCTTCGGTGTCCTAAGCCCTAAGCCTGAAACTTCCAAACCCTAGCAATGAGAAATTGACTGCCGCTGCCCCTACGCTGCGAGCCACTTCATGCCTCTCCCCATTCAGGGAGTTTACTGCGCAAGTCGCCTCAAGCGACATGCGCCTTTTAAATCTTCCTCCGCTGGCACAGCATGAGAACAGAGGCCCAGTGCTGGTCGCAGGGTGCCACTTGAGTAAGCAGTCTGTATGCTACAGATCCACTTGCTCTGAATAACGACGAGTGCGATTCTGCGCAGGTAACAACTGTGTTTAGATCTCACACTAGGATCGGATAGGGGCTTGTATGTTGTAGGCCACTACTTCAGTGAAAAACGCGCCCGTTCACATCTGAAAGCGGCTACTGAGAGGTGCAACAATCATGCAGCGACCAAACTGTTCAAAGCACAAATTCCCTTGTCTACTTCAATGACCTGTCTTGCTCACAGAACCGCACCAAAGTTGTGAAACAATCCGCGCGTGGATGCGTTTGGAATGCTCCTGGACAAGGTTCTCCCCGTTCCCCCTCTGCATGCGGCAGCCTCTGAGTGCTTCTTGCCCGAAAGTCTAGCATTGACATGCAATTCCGAACTGCAGCGAAAGGATTACTCATCATGCTCTCAGGCAGCAATGCGGACGTTTCGGGCTCCGCTGTCTGTCTTCTCTGTCCGGCTCCTGGCAGCGAGATAGTCGGCCGGACAAATTTAGCACTGCAACTTAAGGGGCCTCACGATACAAGACCATGCGATTTGTGGCTGAACCACCTGTTTTCGACCGTGCTTCGCACCACCCTGTCTCAGCAATGGAGGTGGTCTAAGCAGAGGCCTTCCTTCAGAATCCTCGGAGCATCACATTCTGCCATCACACCAGCATATTGTCTCATCGACACTTATCCTGCACCGATCTAACGGTTGAGCGGACATTGAACACGCGCTCCAGAAGCATGATTGATTTGTGCTCCCTGTTGTGGCAAGGAGCAGCTGAGTCGCATCCTGGATATCGAGCTCAGTCTTCATGAATCGAGCCGACGGCAACCAAGTATGGGAGAACTGATCAGGAAGTGGCAGGTTGCCAAGCAAACGTCATCCACATCTGCGGACCAGTTCCCACATCTCCTCTAGCGAGCCGAACTCTTCGGCGTGGCTGCAATTGTCTCTGTCATGCAGGCCCTGAGCAGCTGCCAAGAAATCATGACTAGCGGTCAGGACGGGATGGCCACAGAAACTGTGAAAGTCTTCTTGCTTACAACAAACTTCTGAAGTCCCTCATACACAGTTGACGGCATCCCAAACAGTTCTGAAAGTATGGCACTTGGAAGCCCCCACATGAGAGACAATCCTGCCACTGGCTGGGACTCAGGAGCTGAAGAATGGCATGAACCGAAGGGGCGCGACTAGCAGAATGGGACAGAATTTGACCTGAAGCCATTGATGTCAGGGAATGTCAGGGATGCTCTAGCCTGCACAAACGCAAAGGGGTTCTGTAACTCAAAGCCCTACCAAAAAAGTGGCAAAGGTTATGCATGTTCCCGCTTCCGGCCTTCGCTCTTGGAGGCCAGCAAGACGTGTCTGCACAGTTGAAATGCAGTTCACCAACCTCAGCTTGCACGCTAAACAGCTAACCTATGCCAAACCTGCAGACTGAATACACGCCATCGTCTGAATGAAGTAAGGAGCTGCAGCAGAGGGCGCTGGCCAAACGGCAGGGTCCAGTGCTGCGCGCCACTCACAGCCTTCACATGGGCAGCTATTTCATTGCCCCTCAGGCAGATTAAGCTGTCATGACACAACCTCAATGGCAGCCGTCCTTCGCAGTCCAGTTTCAGCAGATCCAGATTGGTCCAGCCAACGCCATGCAGGACTTCGCGAAGCACGAGTGTGGGCACCTAACGGGCGTTTGAAAGCTATGCCTGCCAACCATCCAACCAGAATCACTATCCGTGCAGGAGAGGGCCCACTAGAAGCAAACCCGACCTTCACGACAGCGGCAGAGGAAGCTTCCGTGCTTGCATTGAACGTGCGCATGGCCATGTTCATACAGGAATTCACTAGGTGTCCAATCCAAGGTTCGTGGCAAGGCTGCATGAGCACCTCTCCGATCTGTGGAGCGGCGCCTGCGCAAAGCGGCCACACGCGGTTTGTCAGGCCGTGGCGACGCAGGTTCCACAACAAGAAGCGGCACAAGAGTGGGTTCGGCTCCAGCACGACAAAACGAGCGTATGAGTAAAGCTTTGCGAGGGCCACCGCCACGCCGCCATAGTTCGCACCCACGTCTAAAATGGTGGACGGCGCGACCTGCCCCGATGCGTCTAGGTTGTAGACCTGGACGTGCGGCATGTCGCCTTTGAAAACCTTTAGAGACACAGTCCCAACCGTTGATGAGATCCGCTTTTCGACCGACGCATGCTGGATCAGTGCTTCCCAGTGTAGCTGGTCTGGCGCGAGTGAGGGGTGGCCGATGGTCCAATCCTGGCTGCTTGGGTAGGCTGGCAGGGGAGCCACGGAGAAGGTGTATGGGTCTAAGACGGCCCATCCAGAGCCGCAGCACTCAGCTTTCGTGTAAAACCGTGGGTCAAACATGCAGGTCTTCTCCGCTATCGGGTCATTGCGGCAACAGAACTCCGCAGAGAAGCCGGAGGTCCAACCTAAAGCGTTCACGATGCTGGCCAGACAAGCTTGTCTACTTAATGATACTCAATGCCTCTGTGCATCATGGGGACAGTATCGGCGTCCAGAAAGGTCCACCAGAGCGGTTGCGCCAGATGCAAGAAAGGCGGCGCCAGCGAAGCGACGCATTCAGGCAAATCCCCACATGCATGATGTTATAACATGTTTGGCCAGAACTAGTTGAGACTCGCTGCAATGTAATGCACTCTTGCTCGCAAGCTAGGCATTTCTACTACATCATTTTGGCTCTAGTTGGGCCACTGGAAGAAAGCCGCAAATGCCTGTTTCAAGAGCGCACGCAATGACCTTGATAGACATGCGATATGTCATGTTTCAAGTCTCAACCACAGAACTTATATCAGAGTTGCGTAGCCAGCAATGGTGCGGCTGAGGAAAGCACAGTAGCATCCCAAGTATTGCAGAGGCTCACATGCTGCATCGGCTTTGAGGAGCGAGAAAGGTCTTGCCAGGAACTCTCAATGCAAGCTTGACATCATGTCTTGCCCAGCAAGCAAGTCGGATCCTGATGCAAGGCATCCTTTTAAAGCTTGAATGCAAAACAACCTGCCACCAAAAGACAATAACTTCAACCTAACGAAAACGTTCACGGACATCAACATGCCAGCTGCACGCCGACTCCGAGCTGGCCTGGCAGCGATGCAGAGCATGCAGGCGGTCACACACAGAATCGACAGAGGAAAGAGCGAAGGAGCAGCCTCCGGATGTCACCGTTCTATCTCAAAGAGATGCGGAGTGAGGATTAAAGGCCTTAGTTTGGAGAGAGTCTAGGGCTTCAAGGGATCAGGGCTTCGGATTTGTCATCTGGTGTTAAGGGCTATAGAGCTGAGGGCTAGGGTCCATAGTTCGGAGGATTGTTCCTTCAAGCTGAACCTTGGACATATGCGGCCTTGTTTTAAGCTCAAACTTCCTTTTGCCAAGTTACTTGGACTTGATAAGTAGGTCAACTATGAGGAGAACTGTGCTTATCATGTGCCTTATAAGGGCTGTAAGCCTTCTTTCTAAGTCCTGTCGATCCTTCGAAGATCGGCACTCGCTTCAGCATCATACATGATGAACATACCATTTCAGGGTAGCCGCACTCGAGGCTCCCGAGTGGAGTCTAGACGCCTAAACCCAAACTCTACGACTCTACGGTCTGGGTTTTAGTGTTTAGTGTAGGGTTCAAGGATTGGGTTGTAGAGTTTAGACCGTAAGCCCTTCAGAAAGCCACCTCACATTACGAACACTCGACAATCACTGTGGAGGAGGAGAACTGAGGAAGCGTTCAGCATTGTTGGCACACGCACACAAGCAGAATTCAGAATCCTTGCCTGCGGCCTGGTCAGGTCGGCTGTGGACTTCTGCATCAAAGTCTTCATGTCACGCACCTAGCAATTTCATCTTTAGAGTGTGCTCAGAGCGCGCTCCGGTGATGTATGCCCCATGCTGGAATGTCAAGTTACCAGGTGCCATCTGGTCCTGTTGTTGTGAACCCCCGTTCTCCAGCTCTGCTTGCAATCATTTCGGTTTCCAGCGGCCCTGATAACTCATTGAACTATACTGCAATCTGCCTGAGACATGGTGTAGCTGCAGGTGATGTCTGCTCCTGCCATCTTTCACCGACTCATGATCAGAGGCTGTCGCTATGCTAAAAAAAGACCTGCCCTGGAATTGTGGGCAGTCCTCGCTTCTTCTCGTCTTTGTCGAGGAAAAATGTGCTACTGCCACGCCTCAAAGCACACTGAAGCAGGACTAGGTCTTGGACCATCCAGTTTGAACGGCATCCATTGGTTCGATTCTCGTTGCGAAGGCTCGTTGCTCCCACGCACCTGCTTGTCCCTTTTGGCATTAGCGGCAGTGTGCAGCGTTGAAGCTTACTGTGCGCCATTTTAGCCACACAAAAGTCGTGAACATCTGGGATACAAGCTTCCCGACCGTCTTGGACGGGTCGGCTTTTCCTGAAGGAGGGTTCGGCAGAGTCAGACGTTGAGCCTTACAACCGTCGCCCGCCCCCCTCCAACAGTTGCTCTTGCCTCGAGCCAGGTTGGGCAAGCTGATGGACTCTCCATCCTGCTAGTGGAAGGCTGTAAGACGATAAGGTGTGGAGAGAAAGTTGAGAAGAAGCTGCTGAGGTCACGTCCTTTCCAAGGCGCCGAGGCCCGCTCTTCTGAATACCTGAGCTGCTTGCAGGGCATGATAAAACTCGCTCATGAAACATGCCCTCGGTCCCGGGCTGGTCCCAGTGCCAGCCTCGAAAAGGTCCGGCGCGCTGGTCTGGGCAAGGCGGTTCACCACCTGAAGGAAGCGGCCCACAGTGGCCCACACTTCTTTCAGAAAGGCTTAGAAAAAAGTGCTTCAGAGCTGAAGCTGGCCTTTGTGCGCCGCAGCTTGTCCATCTGGAATCCAACGTACCTCAGCTAATTTCCATGCTTCACATAGTTTCGGAGCAATCTTGCAATGCATGACACACTGAAGGTCCCGTAGACTTTCTGCACAGGATCTGTCTCTCAGCATCTCTTAGTCTTAGCCTCTGGCTCCGCGTCGTTCATCAAGCGCTCTCGACGCATGCGCTCGTCCGGGCTGCCAACTGCGCATGGGAAGGCAAAGTTCACTGTTCCATACGGTCTGTTCGAGCTGGATCTATGATGACATTGACTCTTGCTAGAACCAGCCGCTGGCACGCCAAGAACACAACCAAACGCAGGGCAACGGCTGGGCGCACATTCCTCATCCCAGGCCCTGAGCGCAAAAGAATTACCAAGGACACTTCTGTGCACCAGGGCAGGAATCCCACTGTAAGGGTCCAAAGGACAGGAGAATGTCATCGAATCTTAGAGGAGTCCCAGACAAGCCCGAGAATCTCGCGAGTTTCCCGACGTCTCCTTCGAGGGCTTGGCGTGCCGCCTGAAAGGTGCCCGGCGACACATACGACGCACTGCCCGCAAATACGGTGCTGGGTTTGCTCAGGTCCGCCTCTTTGAGCCCTTTCGCTCCGTACCGGTGCCGGATTCAGTCTTGGAGTTGCTCGGGCTGAGTTCCTGCGAAATGGCCGGACTCACACACAATTATCTGAAGACTAAGACCCACCCGGTATCACACGATTGCAATCTTCCAACACCCTCTGCTTGCATCACTCTGGGTCAGGAAGCACGTTCTTCTCCTTTGCGTCTGGGTGGGCCTGCCAGACTATTGCTGAGAGTGGGATCATATTGACCTATCTGCTTCTCATTGGGTCTCCTTGATTGTCCAGTGCAATTTCTACAGTCTGAGCATGATGTGCTTGCTTGGCGCGCATAGCATTTGCAGTTGCGTCTGTAGCAAGCAGTGCCTCTCTGTGGGACGACTGTTTGGCCTCAAGCACTGGTGCGAGGCTCAGGCAAATGAGTCTGCTGGGTTCTGGGGTTGCAGCTTTGAGAATCGCCATGAGGCTGCCAGTGCGGAAGGCCTTGTCAAGTGACCCTATCCTGCGTGTGCAGGGGAACCTTGCCCATTGCTTCTACGCTGACAAGACAGACTAAAAACGTGTACAGGTTGACAGCATCGCCCGCGGTCTTTGAAATGCAGAGATGGCCGTACAACTCTGGAATCATCAAAAGGAGAGTTGCTAAGGATTGCTGTTGGGTCCTGGTGCTAGGCCCAAACAGGCTCGCAAAAAATGCCAAAGCACAAGAGCATGCGGGAATGTGCCGACTGGCTGACAAGGTGCAGTATGCAAAGCGGCGGCATCCACCACCTCAGCCCAGGCACTTTGCGTTCCGAGAGATCAACAGGGCCAATTGGGAGCATAGGGTACCTGGAAGCAAAGCCCGAAAGCTCAAACTGCGCAGACTCTATGCAATGAGCGAATGCGATGATAAGAAAAGAATGGATGGTTGCTTGCAAGCTCTCCCACAGGCCCTGGCACTTCAGGAGAGACGAGATGGCCAAGAACTCTCCAAGAACAAAGTCCCTACAAAACAACCTCTGCAAAACGAACGGACCAAGATGGACCAAGGCTGCAGCCAAGGGATCGAAGATCGATTCCCCAGGCTCTTCTTCTCCATCGCCGGAGTCCGACGAGTCCGAGTCTATTCGCTCGCCTAGGCCTGCAAACATGCTCAGCTCTTTCGCACCTCTCTTTTTGGTTTTCGGCATACAACCAGGCACTCTCGTACATTCTGTCACGCCCGAAACACAAACAGAGACACATTTGCCAACGTTGTGCCTTGCGGATGCAGCGAGGATGCCAAATCCTTCACGATCAGCCTTGATTGATCTGAAACGCAAAGCGCCAAATTCGCAGATCCGCAGGAGCGCTTGTTAGCAACTCAAATGGGCCTTGCAGGCTTGGCTACCAGAAAGAGTTCTTCGGACATATTTCCCTGAGCTCCCTAAGACATCCTCTAAGATCTACAAGCCTGACATATGACTCTTGATGACCATAATGCCATAATGTTCACCTCCAGGTTGACATGTTGAGGTCACGGCACTGAGGATGATCTTCGCCTCCGCCGACCAATACCCTGATGGTCATGGTATGCAGGCGATTGCAGGCATTTAAGCTCCATGACATGGACGACCGGCTGCGCAACGCAACAGAATTCTAGTCCCAACAGCTGAGCTTTGCTTGTGACTTGCTGATTGGGTCAGTCTGCGCCTCTTGCCGCAGCCTTCTCAGGTGGTTCACCCAGGCGTGGAAGGTCTCAGGTCAGCCAAGCTTATCATTCTGACTCCCAAGCACAAGCTCTGTCGCCGAGCAATATGAAGGCACAACGGGAAGGTAAATAACGTCAAACTAAACTACGGAACGATGCAGTGATGCGCAGCCAGCTCTTATCCCTGTCATAGGTCTTTATCAGGTCCTCAATACTCTGAAGATCGAGAGCTTCGCTCACGGATCCAAGCACCAAACAACAGAAGCCACAGCGCGAGCCCAGCTGTTGTGCCGCAAGAAACCAACCGGAGCCCTGGCATCATCTTATGTCTCTGCACTCAATCAATCAAAGTCAAAGTGTCACCTGCTGGCTGGAAGTTGAAAAAGAGTCTGCTCCGACCTGAGGGTAAAAGCAGCATGAAGCGTTGAGGCTCTCTGACGAAGAGCAGCCAAGGCCCAAGCCCTCGCATTGCCATATACTTCCCCATCTCAGTGCCAGCCTACAAGGGTCAAACAGCGTCTTCGCACCTGCAATGCGTTTGTCTCAGTCTCCGCCTGTAACTCATGAGACTCCTCGATCAGCAACCGGTTCCTTGCTGCACAGCCAGACTTAAGCTCTGCTTTCGAATCACAAAGCGCCCCGAAGCGCCCCGGAGTCCTGGGCTGCTGAAGGAGAAACTGCAAAGCCTGCAGACTTGATGGCTCCAAATGTCTTGCAAGCTTTGATCATGCACTTCAGCACATCCGGCCTCTATCGTAAGATTTCCAGTGAGGCCCACGAGGCTCACGCTGGGCCTTAGGCTAGTCAGCTGGCAGCTGTCTGCACATGTCAGAGCAGGGCTGAACCTCTGCGTTTGACCGCGTTTCGACAGAGGCTCATCCTTCTTCAGCTGCCTCCGCTTGCACCTGAAATCTTTCCATGCAGCCGAGGACCCCAAAGCACTGGCTTGAAGGCTCCGCGCCTGTTTTCCTCACGTCTGCTGCTCGGCGACTTGCTGCGGGGGCTCTTGAGATCGACAGCGTTGACCGGCCGCACAAGCTCATCTGTGCAAAACAAAGCAAACAGCCTCCAAGATTTGTGATCGATCTGCCACACTCTTGGCTGCTTGCACTGGCCTATGAGCTGTCCTTTCCCAAAGCCCTCGGCCATCAGTCTGCATCTGAACGTCAGCCACCGCTGCTAGCTGGAAGTACAGATGATTAGAGGTCCGATATCTGCACTTTCACCCCATTCCGCAGCTTGGCTGTGTTTGCACTTTGTGAAGCTGCTACAGAAATGTTGCTTCATCATGACATGTACAGCTCATGTCCATCGCGCATAAGCCATAGGTCTGCAGGCGTAGCGCAAGCTGCAATTGGAATTTCTCCTGATGAGACAGACAGAGTATGGGGTCTTGCCCGCCGCCACCCTCGTTGTTGCGCCAAGTGTGCCAAAGCCATTCACGCCACAAATGAATAAAACGCAATAGGACCTGCAAGAAGCGATGCTTTTCTCTCCTCCCCAGGCATTCAGCGGCTGACTCGAAGGTCAAAAGCAACAAGCCCAGATCTGCTTCAAACGGACCAGAGACTAGAACTTGCTGCCATCATCAAGTGCCGCAGGTGAGGAGCAGCCGTCACATCACTGATTCAGCGAGGTCGGCCAGTGTCATTAAAACAGACATTAGCAACAAATGTCTCCTGGCTTGCTCACGCAAGCTCAAACTGCAGGATAGAGCTGCTTCCTGCGCGGGGCAAAGGCTTAAGCCATTTCGCACACAATCTAGTAGTCTTAGTAGTCTTCCGTTTCAGATTAACTCTTTGCTGTTCAGCCCAGCCCTCATTCCCCGATCCTTTACTTTCCTCTCGGCAATTTGAGCGGCTGTTCAAACATGTTTCTGAGGGTACACCTCTTGCGACAAATGACGGGAAGAGTGCATCTCGAATCGCTGACGCTACTGGTTCCAAGAATCCAACCGACTTGCCCTTTCCACCTGACCCTCAAGTAATTTGATCACCATCATCCGTGCATTTGGTACTTCTTGTTGCCTTGGAGAGACATCCGAAAATCAAATCTTGGGAGCTGTTTCTATGAAATGCAGAGACAAGCAAGCACTATCATGTGGCCACTGGTTCCGAGCCAACAATACTCAGGTTACGGTTCTGTTGATAGGCACCCGGTAAGCTTCCGCTCTGACAAGACAAGGGAAAGCGAAGGAGCGAAGGAATGCCTGTTTGGCCGTGGCCAGCGATCTCTTGACTTACAGCCATCATGTTGCCAGAATGCTGACAGAAAAAGACCGAGGGACTTACTGAAGTTGGATTACCAAAAGGCGGCAGCTCCCAACCCCCAGCTGACATGGCACACGCTCACGAATTATTACATGGAAATTGATTAGCAACCCACATACAACACTCCGCGCACCGTTGTCACTTTTTCGTGTTGGTCACTTTGCTCCGCTGCCATTGGTGCGTGCACCACGCCATCTTGCAGCAGCCTCAGGATTTCGTCATAAGCATGGCACTTCGTGGGCATGTGGTTGCAGGTACAGTTGGGATACCCCTTGTCCATTTGGGCGACAGAGCTACAGAGTCATGGAGAAGGCCGGACGCGCCCATTCCCAACTGCTCATGCAGCATTGGAACATAACAGCAAGTCAGCATCTGATGTCACATCCTCTTGTTTGTCTTTCTCTCTCGTTTTGGCTCTCAGCGACACTTTCAGAACCAACCTACCACCTGATCGCAAAGCTGCTAGTTTGAGTGCAAGAAGTGCAAGCATGTCTCCTCTCACCTTTGCACACTCCAAACATAATCTTAGGAGTCCACGTTCAAAAATACATCATGGGCTTGACAAAACGAAACAACAACAACAACAACAACAACAACAACAACAACAACAAGAACAAGAACAAGAAGAATAAACTGGCAGCTTTGCGATCAGGTGGTAGGTTGGTTCTGAAAGAGGCGCTGAGAGCCAAAACGAGGGAGCTTGACAAACAAGAGATTGGATGCGACATCAGATGCTGACTTGCTGTTTTGTTCCAGTGCTACATGAGCAGTTGGGAATGGACGTGCCCAGCTTTCTCCGTCGCTGTGGCTGTCAGAAACAGGGCGTTCTACATGCTGCATGTGTTGCAATACGTCAACCAGAAGCCGCTTTCTGTAGCCGAGAATGTGGTCAAAGAGTAGGTTCAAAATGCTGAAACAAGTACTTTTGCCTGCAGACCTCCCAGAGCCACTGAAATGTCTCCGAGTGTCATTTCCACGTCTGCTGGGCTGAGTTGAAGCTCCTGCATCTTAGCAGTCAACAGGCACAAGCAGATGCCTGTTCGATTTTATGGATCTCTATGGTCTGCATCAGCCTTCGTGAGAATTTCCACGGTGTGCTCGCCAAAGCCTCCACAAACAGCAAATGGGGATTGGGGGAAGATGTTTGATTCCTGTGACTGCCTTCCTGTCGTCTTGATCTCGAAGCTTCGCTTTTTACGAAACAATGCAAGTTCGTTACGACCTGCATCCCTGAAGCAGGTTTTCTACCCACCTGCCCAATTTTTGCGTCTTCTCTTCCAAGAATTACAACTACACCGGTACTTCTCGCAGATGTTCCTTTGCATAAGCTGCAAGCTTAAGGTTGTGCACGTCTATTCGACGCCTGGAGGACGCCGCGGCGACCCAAGACTAGGTCGATCGCCCAACCAAGCCACCTGCGCCGAATCAGAGCGTATCACAGCAGCTGACTCCTGAAGAATTTGTCAGCGACTTTAGATGGCTTTGGCAGAAGGGTTTGGTGCCTGACGCAGTCCCACAGGATTGCCGCGCTCATCGCAAACGACGAGAGCCTTGGGTTGCCCAGGTTTGCCCCTTTTTGCCCTCGCCCATTCAGGTGTATGCAGAGGCCAGCCTGCGCTGGCTCGGTGTCAAAAACTTTGGACATGTCAGCAACAGCTCCAGCAGGAACCTGCGAAAGGCTGCACATTGCTGCAAAGTCAAGCCAGGTGCCGACGTTCGCGTTTGCCTTTCTCTCTGCCAGAGCCGTCAGCAGCTCGTCACGATGCCAGCTGGCAATCGCTGCTCCAAGCGCGTCATGGAGCTCCTCACAAAGAAGGTTTAGGCTGTCAGGCTACGCTTGCAAGCTTGCTGAAATTGCTCTGCTCTGCTAAGGAGGAGTGCACTCTGGCACTTGTTCATCACAAAATCTTGATTCAAAGCGGGATCCCGCTGAGCGCGTCTAGCTGCCCAGTCTAGCTTGCAATTCAACGTGCTGCAGCTGTCAGATGACAACAGTAGGCCGTGAAGCGCCTGCCGATGCAGAACCCGATCAGGGTTCCGAAGATATCGTGGGTCCGCAGCAAGCTCTGGATGTTGCAGCACCTGAAGTTCGAGCACTGCTGACACTTGCTTCAGAGTTGTAAGCCCCGAGGCCGGGCGGGGCAGGCGCCTCGCACAAGGCCGTGAATTGACTGTCCGTTCCGACCTCAAATCTCTGCAGCACATCTGATCATGCGCGAGGCGTCTCAACAGGACTTAGTCGAAGGCTGCCAATATCAGCGCTTGACCAGCCTGCCCCACCAGTGTCGAGAACTGGGTACATCTTTACCCAAAGGCGCGTCCTTGTCGTAGAAAGGTGTCCCGTAGGGACAGATCGATGGATGATCCTGAGCTGACAAGGGCCATCATAGATTGCCGGACCGCAACTCCCCAGCACCCGACTTTCAAGAAGTGGTGTGAGCATACATTGTATGCCGAGCTGCCAGAATACAGATACATCAATACATCAAACTGGCAACAAGAAGACTGCGCAGTGCGTAACTACACTGTGTGTACTATTACCACCCCATCCACCGCTTTTTAGCACCCAGCACATCCACTTTCACTTCACATGTTATCAAAGGATATCAGGCGCCTCCATGCTGCCAAAACTCCGAGCCCTTTCGCTGCGGCACCTCTCCTGCGATCAGGTAGCCTGTCGCCTCGGCTGAGTACTGAAACAAAATTTTCAGACCTTCTCAGAAGCGTCTGGCCTGGTTTGCCAAAGATGCGACGGCTGATGCCATCAGGGAAACATGCACATGCGCACCTTTGCAAGGAATGCTCAGGTGTAAAAAGATCCCGTGCCTCACAGGCCTTCTCCGAAGCGTTCACGGTTCAACAGAGCCAGAAGAATTGCCTGCGGTCCGACTCCGGAATCAGCAGTCAGTGAGTCAGAGAAGCCTTTCAAACAAACCGTGCCCGCGCCCGTCCATGAATTGCCTCCTTCAGCTGGTGCGCGGCAAGCAGGTCCACCAAGGCCACAGGCATTTTGGTCGGGCCCCCACCCTCGGAAACAGCGGGTATAGCACGGCTTGTTCTGCAACTCAGGGCCTCTCTCTTATCCTCTTCAATGCCAATTCGGACGTCACAAAATTCGATTTTAGAAGATGATGCGGTGGCAAAAGTCAATTTCCGGGAGTTGTGGTCATCCACAGCTCACCCAATTCTGAAAGCAGGGTGGGAAAGAAAAACTCACGTTTAGGATAACAGTGTTGCTCATATTAAAGGTAAAGCTCACTTCGAATTGCGAAAATGAATCGACATGAGGCGACACCACCAGGCCTGGTCGGCGGCGGGTCCGTTCATGTAAGTAAAGCCCGACTCAGCCTGCATGAAGCACGGGTGCTTGCACGCAAACCGCAAGGAGCGTTGCGATAAAAACGTGGACGTGCAAACGTACCCTCGATGCTGTGCACGGCACTAGCTTTTGAAGCTTGCTGCATGCCACACAGGATGTGTGCAAATAAGTCAAGTTCTCATCGTTTGCTATGGGTTTACGTCCACCACCTACGACGCCTTCAGCAACATGCGTTACACCTCCCAGCACCATCCATCATACAAGACCCAGCACCAGCAGCCACGCTTCCCAGCACCATCTGTTACGCCCCACCAGTGCCGATAGTGCCGTTTGATAAACTTATAAACCCAAGCAACACCATCCATTGCCCTTCACGACGCCTGTAAATTGGCCCTGTTGCCCGCGCCCAATACAAGTCCTGAAGCCTCAGACCAAAAAAGGTGCTTCTTTCATACAACATAGACTTTTGTTTATTATGGGATTGTCGGCTTGCAAGATCAAGATATAAATCGCTCGCCGGCAGCCGGGCACTGTTTTGATGCCTTTAACGAAGCTGCCAACGAGACGTGTCTGGTGGGATCATGGTTTTCTATGTCGCCTTTGCTCACATCGCTGAGTTGACCTAACGTTTTGGACTCTTCGACCCTACTGCTGGCACTTGAGTCCTCGAGTGGCGCGGCAGAAACATCTTGGAAGCAATACAGTGCCGCGGACTGTGTAAGAGCTCTGCAGATACATCTGGACCCACACTCACTTTTCTAGAGATGGCAGGCTGCTACGAAGCGCATGAAGCGCCTTCGTCCCAATCCGTTTGGCCCTGCCACTAAGTTTTTGTGATGAAAGCTAAGTCAGTCCCTAGGATTGCCTCAACCCAGCCAGGCTCAGCAGCCTCTGGTGTGTCCGTATCCGTACTCATGGCTGACAAAGTCGTCATATCCAATCTCGAGCTCCCCCCTACTTCCCCCCGAGTAAGGCTCGAGGTCAGGCACATGCTCTCCCCACGTGCAGTCGACCAGCGCAACTGCTCGACTCCATCCCAGAGGCATCGCCACTCCACTTCCATGCCAACATGCATGACGTCTGTTTCAGGCTTGGAAGGGAAGACCCGCTGCCCCCTTGTGATCAAGACATTTGCGAGATCCACTGCGTAGCGGCATCATGAGCCAGCTCACATGCCAAAGCCTGATACCTGCTCGTCTCTTGCAAACAGCATCCAATGGCATCGTCTATCCAAGTACAGACCCCACTTGGGTGATGTGAGTATAATATCATATCATCATCCCGCAATTTCGCATGCGCAACTTTGCCAGGCTGTGGCTTGAGGAAAGGCGGCAAAGATCTTAACCAGATTCTGGGTCTTGGTCGGTAAGTTGAAGCGAAGCAAACCTGCACATGAATGATGCCAGGATTCTAGCCGTGGATATTATTTCCGTGAGAAGTGGCGTCAGGTATCCATCCAGTGCAAGCCCTATGCCGGGGAGGACTGGCTCTAGGAGGGCCCAACGACCACTGCCCACCTCCACCAATCTCCGGCCCTCAGTTGCAAGCCAGCACAGAAGAAGCAAGCAGTCACCGGACGCAGAGGAACCAGTTGAGCGTATTATCATCGAGCATGGTTCCAGTGGCTGACTCCGCAAGCATTGCAGCAGTCTCAGGTCGCTGCGTGATCCTCTTAGGCAAGGCGCCTACACCGATGTGGCCACTCACCGCGGGCCCTTAGGTGGCCGCATGTCCAGACTCGTTCTCATATCGGGCTGGTATGTATGGACTGGCGCATCTGCTCCTCAGTAAGCCGGTAAGGTTAACAGTAAATGGATAGACAAGCCTGGAGTAATGCTGGATTTCAGGCGCAGACTGATAGGCCCTTCACCTGAGA